ACTGAACTGATGTCCAATTCATCGGACGTGGTGAGACGTGAACACCGATACAAACAGGTTGGTTTGTTTGGAATAGGGGTTCTCAGCCAAATCTAGGTGAACCGCCAGAGGTTCCCTGATCCGGTTATAGACCTGGATTGTGGCTTTTCATCCCATCCCCACCGTATTTTCAATGGAGTCTATAAGAAACTCTTCGTCGTACAGCAGCATTTGTGAGGTGATTCAATAACCGCAAGACACTACATCAACACCCGCTATACCGCAACTTTTAAACATCCATAAGAAGTGTCTTCCAGTGTGCAGCTGGCTTCCCTGTATTAACTGTGAAAGCAGTGGGTTTCTTCAAAAATGAAACAATCGTCATCAAAGTAAAAATCAGAACCCACACAAGTGTATCAAGACCTTCATGCAACTTATTATGGAAAGAACCACCCATAGAATCAATCCAGCATTTTGTGTAAAGTTTCAGCTGTAATGATTCTGAATGCCACATTATCAACCTCTGTATCATTGCCAGTGGAAGAGAAATATGAGGCAACGATAGAACGTTTCTATGTATAAAATAGTAGGAAAAATTGTTTACTAGTTCAGCGAGAACGTCAGCGGACGTATGTGCGGTATAGTTCGACAAGGCTATACAGAGAGTAATCTAGTCATAAGCTTGAATGTTCATGGATTCCCAGAAGATTTCATTCGAAAGTGAAGGCCCTAATATTATAGACTGATCATCTTTAACTTTCTCACTGCTATTGCTTATCCTAGCAAACACCACAATCCAAAGAAAATCAGAGTGAAACATTGTTTCTAGCATAATACAGCCCGTTACACAGTAGGAGTTGACATGGCAAAACCTGTCGCACATATGGTAAGCAGAACCCATAGTCTTGGTTCCGGGAAGCGGAGCGATGTGCCGCATAACGCCCCAATAGCAAAGATGCGATGTATGAAAATTAAATATCCGTTTCATCGGTTAAAATCAACAAGTGAACAACTCAATGTTAAGCTTCACAAGGTGCATCTAATTGGATCGTGAATACATGTCGGTAGCATAAATCAGCGTCAAGTTAGCGACAATTTAATCTGTTAGGGGTGTGCGAATCTAACATTTACATAGTTGCTTCGCAACAGAGATAATTTCTATCGGAAATGAAAAGTAGCAGGAGGAATGGAAGCATGGAAAATAACGGTAACATGGAATAGAAACAAAATATAATACTTTAGTTAACGGACTGTATACGAACTTAGCATAGTTGAACAATTGCCAAAGCGGACCCGGTGGACATACCAGTCAGAACAGCTTCGTAAATTACGCCGGTATAGTAGTCTAGTCCGCGCGCAAGACTCAGATCGAATCGCACACGTTCAAGGATACCCAACGCCTCACAATACGACAGAAGTAATCGAATATCAGTGAGTGCTTCGCGGGCAGTTTCCTGTTGCATGAGCGGTTCATCTGCCTCAAGTCGATCCACCAAACCCAGTGTGCCGTTCAACTGCACATACTGCCCGATTTTGTCCACTGTGTCTGGATTAAGACCTTTTTCTTCTAACAGTTCTCTTTGAACTGCTTCCCAGGGACTCTTAAAAAGGGGGAGAAACAGAAAATGAGACCAAAAATGATTGCGTCGATGCATAAGGGAAAAAAATGAATAAATACAATGTCTATCAACTCTGAAATAGTGCGTTTTGTTGATTTTTTCAAACTTGCTGCTTAATTTTACGTTTCGTTATTTACGTCCAGATACGCAAAGAGCCCCCTCCCTTTCCCTTCCGTCGCATCCAAAATCCCGGAAGGAAACAGCAGTGTCAGTGAAAATACTTATGAAGTGCAGTTCATTTGACCCATAGCGCCGGTACTCCAATCGTTTGCGTACACCTATTTATTAGTCTACCTCAGCAGAATTAACTTCGAAGCCCTACTCACTGCCTTCTCGTAGCGATGTTTTCTTACCAAAGTGAGAGGACAAAAAGCCGACATCCGGGGCTATAACCGGGTTGGTGGACCACTGTTAGTTAACCTAGGGGAGTTGGCCAGAAACCCTGATTCCAAACCAACCATAAGGAGGCGTACGAACCACACCCACACCTTTTCGGTTGTGGCAATGGTCACTGGCTCGATTGGGCATTAAGGTGTATTGGGCACCTTGGACGTTTTA